ACTAATGGCGGCGGGTGTGGTAGGACTGAGCCTGGCCCTCCCGCGGGCTCCATCCAGATGAGGTTCGAGTCTGGGTGGCGCCCATTGACCGCAGTGGGCCGCTGTCCTGCCCTCTCTAGGCCTCAGTGTCTCGGTCTTTAAATGGGGCCCAAATAGATGACCGAGGAGGCCTGGCCCTCCACAGCCACCTTTTAGGGTTGGCAAACAAACCTGCGTTTTGCCTATATTGCTTAAATCGCAGAGCCATGCTACCTGCTGGTCTCTAGTCAAGAGGTGTGGCAGAGTAGCCAATTCACACTTCAGCTGTTCACTCACTATAGGTGTGACCTTTTTTCTCTATAAAGTTTCAGTTTCCTTGTTTGTAAGCAGTGCAAGTAGTACTAACAATAGCGACTCCACCTCAGGCATTTTATTCTAGGAGACAAATCTAGGCAGGATCAGTTGTTATCCCATCGTGAACGTGAAGCAACTGAGGCACAGATATTAAGTCTTGCCCAAGGCCACACAGTTTAGCAGTGCCTGGCACCCTCCAGGACCCAGCACTTTGTACCTACTTTCTCAAACCTCCAATGACTCAGTTCCCTCACAACAGGATGGAACCAAATGAGGAGTTGGAAGAGGAGGACTCTCCCGGTGGCCGTGAGGATGGCTTCACTGCTGAGCACCTGGCTGCAGAGGCCATGGCAGCCGACATGGACCCCTGGCTGGTATTTGATGCCCGTACTACACCTGCCTCAGAGCTGGATGCCTGGTTGGCCAAGTACCCACCATCTCAAGTTACTCGCTATGGGGACCCGGGTTCACCCAACTCTGAACCTGTGGGTTGGATTGCAGCCTATGGGCAGGGTTACACCCCCAACTCAGGGGATGTTCAAGGGCTGCAGGCAGCCTGGGAGGCTCTGCAGACCAGTGGGCGGCCCATCACGCCAGGTACCCTGCGCCAGCTGGCTATCACCCACCATGTGCTCTCTGGCAAGTGGCTGATTCACTTGGCACCTGGCTTCAAGCTGGACCATGCCTGGGCTGGCATTGCCAGGGCTGTAGTTGAGGGCCGTCTTCAGGTGGCCAAGGTGAGCCCACGGGCCAAGGAGGGTGGGCGCCAGGTCATCTGTGTTTACACGGACGACTTCACGGACCGCTTGGGAGTGCTGGAGGCAGATTCTGCCATCCGTGCTGCGGGCATTAAGTGCTTGCTCACTTACAAACCTGATGTCTACACCTACCTGGGCATCTACCGAGCCAACCGCTGGCACCTTTGCCCCACTCTCTATGAGAGCCGTTTCCAGCTTGGAGGCAATGCCCGTGGCTCTCGAGTGCTGGACCGTGCCAACAATGTAGAACTGACCTAGTGGGGCCACATGGGAGAGAACAACTTTTGCTCTCCTGCTGGGGATGGATCCTTCTTTCTTCTCTTCCTTGTCCCAAGAAGGCCAAACTCCCTAGCTCTGAGGACTGATTGATTTGGGAACTGCCTGTACTCGGTCCCTTTGAACTTCTCTCTGTGCCGGGTTGACTCCAGCCCCCACAGGCTGGGGGCTTTGGCTCCCTGAGGGCCGGGCCCTCAGCCGCCCTCTTTGATGCTGCTCCCCGCCACTGCCCAGGACCACAGCTTGGGTGCAGATGCTCAAGAAAGCCTGCCCTGGTCACCTCTGTCCCCTACTATACTCAACCTGCATCTTCCTTTTCTTTCCTCCTTCATAAGGGAGAAAACTTAGTGCTTCCAGTCCCTGCCCTTGGTGATATTGTAGCCCAGGTGGCAGGGCCCCTACAGGACTGAGCATGCTGTTGGGGCCTATATATGTCTGGCCAAGAGAGGATGCAGGGTCATGGACATAGGGCCTGCTCCTCCCTGCAAACTCATAGCCCGCATCACCAACATCCCCTCCCTGACTACCTTGACGTGTGCCTGCTCCTGGCATTTCAATAAAACCCAGCTTGGGTCTGTGTCTTGAGGTTTTTTTTTTTTTAATACTGTCCTGATGGTTGCCTGCTTTGGCTCCCAGGAAAGGCAGGGCCAGAAGAGGCAAGTGTCTGACCTGACCAGGCTTTCTTTGTCTTCCTCCCTCAGCAATGAAGATGGTGTGTTTCACTGCTGAGGCGGTTTCATTTCTGAGAACCTCTACAAAGCTGATCTCCTGTAACCCATGGATCAGAACTAGTTTTGTAGGTCTTTCCAGGAAGGCGCAAGGGGGCTACTCTTTGACCTTTGTATTTGTTTTAGACTTTTAAATTTTATTGAGGTGGGGGTCTTACTATGTAGTCCTGGCTGGTCTGGAACTCACTGTGTAGACCAAACTGGCCTCTGACTCAGAAATCCATTTGTCTCTGCCTCCCAAAGTGCAGGGTTTAAAGGCCTGTATCCCCAACTTTTAGGTTTTTAAAAAATTATGTTCGCGGTGGCACATGCCTTTAATCCCATCACTGGGGAGCCAGAGACTGGTGGATCTCTTGAATTCAACGCCAGCCTGGTCTGCATATTGAGTTCCAGGACAGCCTGGGCTACATAACAGACTCTGTCTTTAAAAAACAAACAAAAAAAGGTTCATAGCCTTTATTCCCAGCACTTGGGAGGCAGAGGCAGGTAGATCTCTTTGAGCTCAGGGGAGCAGGGACAGGGTTAAGAGGCTGGGGACTTTTCTAGGCACTTAAGAGCACTGATTACTCTTCCAGAGGACAGTACATTTAATTTCCCAGCATTCTCGTAATGGCTAGTAACATCTCCAACTACAGTTCCAGGGATAAGATGCCCTCTTCTGGTCTCTGCAGACACTGCACACATGGTACAGAGACATACATACAGGCAAAACACCCACCCATACACAAAAATGAATCTTTACAAACTATTAAAACCGATAAAATATAAATTTACTTTTTGGGTGGATGTAGAGACTAGTTTGTCCCATGTACACATTTGGAGGTCAGAGAACAACTTGGAGAAGTCAGTTCTTAACAGTGTGGGTCCCAAGGATTCAACTCTGGTCAGGCAAGTACCTTTATCTAGTAAGCTATCTCAGTTGTTTTGTTTTTTGTTTTTTTTTCCTCGAGTCAAGGCTTCTGTGAGTAGCTTTGTATACCAGGCTGGCCTTGAACTCACAGAGATCTGCCTGCCTCTGCCTCTGGGATTAAAGGTTTGTGCCACCACCGCCCTGCTATCTTTTTGTTTTTAAAAACAGGGTTTCATTATATGGCTCTGGCTGGCCTGGAATTGGCTGTGTAGACCAATCTGGCCTTGGACTCAATTGCTGCTGCTGCCTCCCATGTTCTTGGTTTAAAGGCATGTTCGTCTTGAATTTATGATCCTCTACCTACACTGGAGTGTTGGGATTACAAGTGTGCACCATCACACCCAGTTTAGTGCTACCCAGGTTTCTGCAGTGACCAAGATTAAACCTGGGATTTAGTGCCTGCTAAACATTCTGCCAACTGAGCTACATCCACAGTCCCTCTGTCCCACAGACTTGGCATTTTTGGAACAGTATAGCACAATCTGGTCTCACAGTTGTGCTCTTCCTGCCACAGCTTCTTGAGTGCTAGGATTACAGGTCTGAACCACCATGTGCATGCTTCAGGACTTAAAAACACTCTCTCAGTTCTGCAGTTCCAGGCTAGTCACAGTTTTGTAAGCAGAGATGGGCTGGATTTCAGGCCCCTGGGCTGGAATAGCCTAAATGTCCATGGTTACAAAGCACCTACCTCCACATGCATCACTCAGTTCTCATGACCTCATTAAGGAGATGCTGACCCCATCCTGCTGTCAAGGAATTACCACCAGGTGTGGTGGACAACTTTAATCCCAGGACCCAGGAGGCAGAGGCAGGCAGATCTCTGGGAGTTAGAGGCCAGCTTGGTGTTACATAGCAAGTTCCAAACAACTGGAGCTACAAGACTTATCAAAAAAAGGGAGGGGGGTTGAGACCAAGAAGAGAAAGGATAATGCAGGGTGATTCAGTGAGTGAGCAGAGCTGGGACTTGCCTCAGATCCCTCCCTCATCCTCAGTCAGAGTGTGGTTCTTGACCCAGAGAGACACCTTCACAACCCACAGAGCATGGACACACATGATCTGACCATCCTCTTCTGCACAGCTGTGTAGCCTCAGGGGCCTGGCTTCTGCATCACCCTGTCTCCCCAAACCAGTGCCTGGCCTGGCCTTAGTTGGGGCTTAGGAGTGTTGGCAGAGAGCCCCTTGAGATGTTGCTCTCGTGCCATGCCAGCGCTGACTCAGCCTGCAGCAGCCTCATCAAGTTGGAATTTGGAGCAGAGGAGCGGAGATGCCACTGGGCTGACTGGGTGGAAGTGGCTGAGTCATGAGACATTGGCTTAACCCCCCTCCCCAGCTTCCTCCCTACCCTGAGTTTCCCCAGTACTGAATCCACCTCAGCCCAAATCTGGGAAGTCCCCAGAGCTCAGAGTCAGAGCCAGGTGCCCTGCCTGCCTGATTGTCTATGCTTTGCACTTGACAAAAGTGGGCCAACTTTCCCTAGGC